AAAAAGTGTTGTTTGGTGCTTGTTTTGCCAGTGTTAACGAGTCTAATGAACAGATTGAAGCTCCAGCTTGAATTGCGATACTCAAGCCAGGTGTGCACATCATCAATCGACGGTCCATTCAGCTCAACGCTGATCTTATGGCATGGCTCTCTTGCTGGCCATTCACTCTCTGTGTATATGGCATCCATTGCAAGTGCAATGCGCAAAACCAGGGACCAACGCAGCACACACGAGGATCAATGCCAACAGCCGCAAAGGTCATTCAAGGCTGTGAGTCGACGGGGCTGGGATGGAGGGGGAGATGTCGCAGAGCTGGAGGGAGGCAAGACGCAGGCGAGGTATTGTACGCGACATAGCACTTCAATACCACACTTTGCCGCACCAAACAACACAAGATATCAGAAAGAAAAGCTGATGCACCTTGTTCTGGTAGCCAACGTCCGCTCCGTTGTCCAGAAGCTTCTCGGCAGCGGCAGCACGACCGTGCAAGGCGGCCAACAACAGCGCGGTGTTTCCGTCCTGCGAATCGACAGACACAAGGATGGTAAGCGCGATGGGCGATTCCAGATGCTGATCCCAACGGTGTGGCATTTGTGATACGATCCAGCACGCATGGGCATAAGCGCCACAATGGCTGCCATGCCTTGTGGACGTGAGTCGACCACGAGTCTGGGACGTGGTGACTGGGGTGGGATGTGAGGCTGGGGTGGTGAGGTGCAGGTGCTGTCCGTAGACCGTTGGCCAATTTCGACCAGCGCCACTAGAGGCCTACTGACCACTTTGTGCGGCAGGACCCTTGAAGGAAAGGAGGACGCCAAGAATGGCGTCGCTCGTATCTGACAAAGAGGCAACGCGGACGCCGCTTCCTGTCGTCAGCTGCCACCGCCCAGGTGTCTGTAAGCTGAGCATTGACCAACACGGGGCTGTCAACGGTCCTGTACGGATGCATACGGTTGCGTACGTACACGTATAGACACGTGGGTGCATATGTGTGTACATTGTACGGATGTGTGCACACACGTGCGCGTCTGTTTACTGTACATGTTGTGTGTGCTGGACTTGTGCACTTGCAACGGAATGGCCACACTCAGCAAACGCCGCCTCCTACAGGGAACTTCTAGTTCCAAGGGTCCTCTTCGTAACACTGCTACACTTTCAATATTTGTACAGATAAAAAGCCGTGAGGCGTGATGCTTGATGCGGCAGGGCTCTACCAGAGCACGATTCTGTACTCAGGACGAGTTCGTTCCTATTTGTTTAGTAATTGGTAAACATTAGCATAAATAGTTAGTAACTAATTCATATAATTTAATCTATTTATTTATTTATTTAATCCTAATTGCCATCTTCGTGTCCGTTTCTATAACCAATACTTCCTCCAGTCCTGCCATTTGTTGCAACACGGGAGTCCCATTTTCTGCAGCCGTCTGTGGCATTTCGTTCGCGGCAGTTTGGCACACATGAGCACAGATCACAACAGGAAAAGGGGCCCATCCGCGCAGTTTCCGAGCGGCTTTGATGCGTCCGAGCGCATCCGGGCGCGTCCCTGCAGCGCACAGAGGTGTCTGAGCGGCCACTGACAAGCCTTCTGAGGCCTCGGACGGTTCCGCGCGTCCCCCGGACACTCCTAGAGTGTCTGAAGGCGCTCAGATGCGTCCAGAGCGTCCGAGGCCTCAGAAGGCTTTTCAATGGCCCGCTCCAGCACATCCGCACGCTGTGCAAACGCGTTCGGACGGTTGAATAGCGTACGCGCAACGGCAAGAGCTCTGAGGGGCCGCCAAGTTAAAGTCAAGTTGTTGTGCACAGCACTGTCCCCCTCCAAAGTTCCCCAATATGCCTTGCGAAGGCAGTGTGGCGAACGAGGGGCCCGTCCGGGATGGGCGATGATACGGAACGATGGGTGAAACCGCATGATCAGCGCCACTGATCACATTACCCTTGTGGAGGAGGCCAGCCCTGTGGAGGGCAATGGGCAGGACAGGCTGCGAGGGGCTGATGGGTTTGCCTGCTTTGAGTGCACGCTATGCAGGCGCCCCGATCGCCCACAATTGAGGAGGAGGCGGACGCAGAATTCATAGTTTCTGTGCGCATTGTTTGCAGGCTGCCGAGGCGTGGGAATCGCCGGCGGTGGAGGAGCCCGTGTCCTAAAGAACTAACAGTTTCTGTGTGCTGTGTGCGTAGGCCACCCAGCAACTTCGATCGCCGGCAGTCGAGGAGCAGTATGGTGAAGAACTGACATTTGTGTGTGCTGCCCTTGCAGGCTCTGATGGATGAAAAAGTTTCTGTTTGCTTTGTGCGCAGGCTCACCAAGTGCCGCGATCTCCATAGATGGAAGATCGCTGACCCTCACCTTGCGTTGCCGGCTGCCACTACCAACAAGACTAACTGCGTGGGGGCCACTTGCCCCCCCATACGCAAAGCAATCGCGTAGGGGATACGCCACCACAACACCACAGCCCCAAGAAACGCGGGTGGGGGGGAGGACAACTGGCAGCCCCGCCAAGAAGAGGATCTAAACGGTCGCCATTGAATCCACCCACTCCACGGACAGCGCCCGCGCGCTCCCCGGATGGTGTCCCCGCACCCTCCGGACAGCGTCCGTGCACGCCCGCACACCATCCGCGCGCTACCTGGACGGCGTCTGCGCACACCCACACACCGTCCGCATGCTCCCTGGACGGCGTCCGCGCACCCTGCGGACGATGGGCAGTTTCCGCGCTGAAAGTGTCCGAGCGCATGGGAAAAGCGTCCGATGCATCCGCGCGATGTGCGGACGAAAAAAGTGTCCACGTTTTTGCCAGATTCCATGCCCTCGGACGCTCCGGACGCGCTCGGATGCTTTTCTCCCGGTGCTCGGACAATTCCGTGTAATGTGCGGACGCTCCAGGCGCTTTTCTTGGTGCCTCGGACACGGCCAATAGTGCGCTCGGACGCGCTCGGACGTGCTCGGACGATTCTGATGCGCTCGGAAACTGCGCGGACACCCCCTTTTCACGTAGTGGATGCGGCATACAATTGCCCTGAATATGAGACGCGATCCCACGCTGATGCTTGACTTAAGCATGAATTCAATCAACAAACACTTCTTTCAATGACAGCCCGACATTGGCCTTCTTGTGATATCGGCCATCGGCTCAGACTATGCAACGTCCTCTTGTGCAAGGGCGACGCGGCCACAGCTATGTGCAGCACAATTTCGACAGCACGATTTCCTGCGCAGGACGGGTCACGAGCCCTTGGTGCCTACCACTGTGCGGACACGGCTGGTGGAAATGGTACATTGACAGTGCCAAGTCTACCATAAAGATTGTTCTGGCACAATCAATACAAAATCTATAAAGTGCTAAGCCAATTTTTGAGTGGCGTACATTTGTACAGCACAATGGCAGCTGCATAGTTGGAACAAGGGAACAAAATAAAATCACTGAGTCTCCAAGCTTGGTGACAGACTCCAATCAGAGCCGTCGAGTCACTCTTGTTCCCAACCTTTCTTTCAATTGCCGTGGGAGCTCACTTTGCCTGTCCTTGCATGTGGACGAAGCTGATGCTACTTTTAGCTAGATGTAGATGTTAATCATTATCTGACTTCAATTCTTTAATGAAGGCAACTCACTGCAAAAGTCGGCGCGTGAATGACCTCGCCGGCAACGCCTCACGTCGACCAGCGGATGGGAGCGTGAGAACCTCTGGTCATCGCAATTGTCATCGCCATTCAGAAAGTTTGAAGGGCAGCGTGTTGAAGGCACTTTCAATTTCGTATTCCATGTCCAAGAACTCAACGTAAAGTGCCATTGGAGCGCACATTGACTGGTTAGTTCATTTGTGCACCGCCCTATTAGTTTGTTTGCCATGTCCTCTCTATTCTGTGTTGTGTTTTCGGCAATCACATCAACCCCAAAAGAATTTTGTGGCCTGCAACAAGTGTTATTTGGTATTTGTTTTGCCAGCATTAACGAGTCTAATGAACAGATTGAAGCCAGGCATGTGCACATCGTCAATCAACAGTCCACCCAGCCCAACGCTGATCCCGTGGCATGGCACTCTTGTTTGCCATTCACTCTCTGTGTGTATGGCATCCAGTGCAAGTGCGATGCGCGAAACCAGGGACCAATGCAGCACACGCGAGGATCAATGCCGACAGCTGCCGAGGTCATTCAAGGCTGTGAGTCGTTGGGGCTGGGATGGAGGGGAAGATGTCGCAGAGCTGGAGGGAGGCAAGATGCAGGCGAGGTATTGTACGCGACATAGCACTTCAATACCACACTTTGCCACACCAAACAACACAAGATATCAGAAAGAAAAGCCGATGCACCTTGTTCTATGACCATCACAAATGGCCCAATTTTGTTGCAACACTGTGCACGGACACCATCTTCCAGAAAGCAATAGGTGCATGATACTGTCGGCGCACAACATGCGTGCACACACATTTCTGCCATCGGCGCGTTGCACCACAATTCCACCAGTATAAACGTGCTTGTCAGAAAGTACTGGATCCCCCAGACAAACGAGTGGTTTAGGCGACGTTGTTGGTATTTTCATTGTACTGCTATCATTGCTGTCAGTGCTAATACAATCATCAATAACAGTAACACCAGTACGAATGGCAGTGCCATTGCTGTGTGCATCCATCTTCTTCAGGGAAGATTCACCAATGGGACTGCGCTGAGAAACCAATGGGGCAGAGAAGTTGTGCGCAGTGCATGATGTGTGGTGGTGTCTTGCACCCACATGCAGATATAATGTACTGGACGAAAGTGCCACCACTGCTATGGCACTATGCCATGAGCACACAGGCCCTAAAGAACTTGAGATGTACTTCAGAGATACTTCGTAAAGCAAAGTGGAAATTTCTGCAGTGCACATTTGCAAAGTACTGCAGAATTTGGAGACGCGATCAATCCCGCATAAAAGAAAATTCCCAGCGGCGTTTCAAACACCTATTTAGCCACTAATATAGGTGTGAATGAAAAATTGCACAATTAAATCAGCCGGCCCACCTGGTCTGCACGCTGCACATCCACCCCAACAGCAATTAGCTTTTCCACAACGCCCAGGCGGCCCTTCCTGGCGGCATGCATCAACGCCGTCCTTCCGCTCTGCACACAAGAGAAAGCAAAACGCATGCCCTCAGGCTGTCGATGCATCATGAGACCAGGGCAGACAAAATGCATTTTTGCCAAAACGCACCCATTTCCTTCCAATTGCGGCAGGCTGAGCAATGGATCAGCCTACTGGGCTCAAGTGCACAATACTCTTTGTTGCGCACCTCCTAGACCAAGGGCCACATTAGACCCATTGCAACGTGGGTACTCGATATTAGGATTCGCAGACATCTGTTATGCAAACTTCCCTATGAGAACACCCAGGGGCTCGCAAACAAAGTACCAGTGGCAGCACGGCTTTATCCAGAACCTGCTTGATGCAGTGGGGCATTGAGCGCATCAAGAAAATAGTCAAACTACCAGCCCACTCATCCGGCTATGTAATAGGTAATACCGCCAGGCTATGGACCCCAGCCCAAACATTGGGCACTCTGCATGGTTTGGGACTCGATATTTCTAGCATTTGATGCACCATGCCAAACTTCAAACAACACAGCAAAGCTTTTGGGCACACAGCTGACCAGCAGCATACCCGGCCTGCTAGGACATGAGCCGGCAATCTGCAGGGTCTGGGACATTGCCGTTAGCAGGAACTGGGGCCAGTCGCTGCCATGCCATCATGTCAGCGAACATTTGCAGTCTGTAGTAATAAACTGGAATGTCAGCAGCATAACTGTAATGCAAGCATTGCATAAGATTTGGGTGCAAGAACAGGCCTCAAATACATCAGATAGCTCAGGAGTCCCATGCCTGGCAACTATGCATTCAGGGAATTGACGAATAACAGGACCCCTCGAATCACATTCAAGTAAAACATGCACAGATGTAAAAGTTGATACCCTATTTGAAGCAAGTAAAGAAGCATGCTAGAATTGTCTTGCATCACATTGTGCATTACATGCATTTACTGTGCTGATCTCCCAACACCCCCTGCTCCATATGGGAAGAGAAGATCATGGCCAAGAGCATGTGAATGGTGTCGCACCTTGTCCCAGCCATCCACCGATACCCCAGCTCCCAGAATGTTTTCCAGTGCATCAACATCACCATCCCTTGCAGCATGGTGAAGGGATGTTTGCCCATACTTGAGCAGTCCACACATGCAGTCAAATATAGGCTTTTACATCCATTGCAATGACTTCAGAAAGCTGTTGTGCACATGATGATCATGTCCACAATTGGACATCATCTCCAATGGCTCTACATAGCACCAGCACTGGAAAATGTGCTTACAAATCAAACTGAAACACAATGTTGCTGACTTCATTGTCTTTGTGGCAAAAAAGCAGCTATTTTTCTTTAAAAAAGCAGCCCAACCTGGCTCATACCATATTAACCCGGTATTAGTAGGCACCCCCTATTAGTATCCACACCCCTCTTTGGGGGTCGAAACCACGTTAGTATCCATGACCCGCTGTTAGTATCCACCCCAAAACAGAAACGAGTGAAGGCATGGATGGTGGCGAGGGAAGTCGGCGACTGGCGTTGGACCGTGTTGCCTAGTCTAGACCAAACCGTGTTCCCCTGCGACTCGCACATCGATGGGAACGATCAGGTCGGAGTGGATGTTGTTGAGGGAGAATTTGAAAGGGCCCCCACAAAAGGCCGCATGGTCGACTGCCCACCGTTGGCGCTCTCAGCGCAGGATCGCAGGGCATCGACCAATGCCCCAGGGCCCAATCAAAAAGGCGGTCGAGATATCAAAGCCGCCCTGCTCCTGGATTGAGTTAACCTGCTCCCTGGCCAGCCAGTGTAGGTTCCGGCCTGCCGCCTGCCGCCTGCCGCCTGCGCCCCAAGGCCTAGCGCCAGGAATGAGTAGGCGATGGTGTTGGTGGGGGCGGCCGCCGTTGTGAGACCCTGCCTTTCAAAACTGCCCACAAAAGCTGCCAAGGCCGGGCCAGTCCCCAATTCGCACCACTAGGAAAAAAAGGGCCACATAACACGTGTTTACAAAGTTTACGGGTTTGTGTTATGTTTGTGTTCTTAGCGTGTAAAACTATGATGAAATGTGTTTTATGTGTGTTTGCAAAAGTGTTATTTGGCCCTTTTTTTCCTAGTGCACATCGCACTAGGTACCAGGCCACAAACACATTCACAGATCACATCAGCCTTCGCAGCTGCCATCAACCTGGGAAAGCACCACGTTTCAAGTTTATCGTTGCGGCATCGCGTCCCAGCGAGTCGAGACCCGTGTCGGTCCTTGTTCTTTTGCATTGCAGAGGAAAACGCGCCTTGAACATTCCAGCGAACCCCTATTGGCCCCAATCGCCAGTTACCACCACCTGGTGCAGCCCCAAGTCAAGGCCACCAGCTCCCGTGAAGATGCTGACAACATTCCACACCAGCATTGCCATCCTTGCCCATTTCCGGGGATTTCACAGCCTATTTGTCAAGAATTTTCTCTGTCTACTCTTTGGGATCGGGGGTCCAAACCGCGTTAGTATACATGACCCACTATTACTATCACCGCTAATTTTGGGGGTCCAATACATGCCTACTAATACCGGGTAAATACGGTATGTTGCAGTGCATGAGAAAAGCATTGCTGCAAATATGGTGTGCAAATTGCTGTGATTACCTCATCCACAACAATTGTGCCTTCCAGAGCTGCCTTCATGTCCAATGCCCCCCTTCCAAGTTTCTGGTAAACCAGAATCACATCATGTCATGCAGCCACTGCATTTCTCTCAGAGCATATCCACAAACAGAAAGCAAGGAAACACTGTTCATATGTACCAACTCCCAATGCAAGAGAAACATCATCCTTTTCTTCCCAACACCAAAGAGTAATGTCATTAAGATAGCTAGGTACAGCCAAATCTTTTCATCTGCAGATTCTGCTTTATGAAGAAATAGAGCATCAGCCCTATTGGGGACACTCAGACTGGCAGTTCAAGCACAATGTGGTCACATTACCTCAGCAGAGCTGCATTCCACTAAAAATGGGAAGATAATAAACACAAAACATACCTTCATGGCAATGTAATTGTAGTGGGTGCCCTGTGGAAGCCACTTCACCATCTCCACCACAATTTTCAACCACTCCTCATCAAGCTTGCCACCGAGCAAGAAAAGTTTCTTGCCTCTGATGCTGAGAAACTTTCTGTAAATGTGTTCAAACTCAATATATTCAAGTTCACCCTTCTTGCGCATATCCCACAACTCATCCACTGTAACAAGTGGCAGGCCAACAATCTGCAAGCTGGGCAACCCAGAGTTGGGAAACCGTTCAAGCCTTGTGCATCCCTGGAGCAAGAGGGCCTTCAAGTGGGAGAGATCCTGTATGCCAACAGGAATAGCTGTCAGACGTTGACACCCCTGAAGGTCCAACAACTGCAAATTGCCTGGCCACAATGATGGGAGTTCCTCGAGGCCACAACAGCCTGCTGCAATGAGGGTCACCAGTTCCTTCAGTTCATGTATTGAACTTGGAAGACTCTTCAGCAATGGACAACCAGCCACACTCAAGTGTTCCAGCTGACTGGCATCTCCAAGGGACGAGGGAAGTTCCTTCAATTGGGTGCAGAAGCTCAAATCCAGCTGCTTCATGTTCTCCAAGTCCCCTATTGATTGGGGCAGGGTCCTGAACCCACATCCTGGGCAATGAAGGCAGGACAATTGCTTCAGCTTCCCAATGTCAGTGGGCAGTTCTTCAAGGGACTCACATAGCCTGACAGACAACACCAAAAGGCATTGGAGGTGAGTGATATTTGTAGCCAATGTCTTCATTTGGGAACAGCCATCAAGCCTCAGCAGCCGTAGCTCTTGCAGCAAGCCAATCTCTGGTGGCACTGATGCCAGCCTGGAGAATGACATATCTAGGATGGTCAGTTTGCCAGATAGGAAGATGGTAGCAGGGATTGTTGCAAGCCCCATCTCTCGCAGTACCAGCCACTCCATATGTGGGGCCTCTGCTCCTTCAGGCCACACAAAAGATTGGGAAGCGTGGCACATTGACACCCCTCTGGCCTCGGCAACAGCTGGTTGCCGCAAGTTGCAGCTGCCCGAAATCAGCAGGTGCCTCCCTTCCTCCTTTGCAGCCTGCAAACCCATCTCCCGAATTGTGTCATGCAGGTAGCACGATACTGTGGAAAGGCCACTTTCCTGGAATCCAACCACTGCCATCAAGGCATCCTTCTCATCTCTTTGGAAGCGAGGGAAACCTGACTTGTCTGACAGCACCAGATGCCGATCCAACAAGCGCCCAAGCACAGTGTATGCCTTAGCCCTCCAAATCTCGATGCATTCCTCTTCGCCATCGCTGGCCTCATCATGACCCAGAGCCACCCACTGCCCACCAAATCCAATACACCCATATGGTAATCCTCCGGCAGGGCCACCAGGAAAAGAAAGAATGCCTGCTCATCCTTGTCAAGGTCATCAAAGCTGCTGCGAAGGATCCGCAGCACTTTCTTGTCATGCTCTTCATCCAGCACTTTTGCAGTCTTGAGCTTGTGGCACCCAACTTTCCATTCATGCAACAGCGCATACCCCGCTGCCAGCGATCCAATGACAGTCAATGCCAATGGCAGACCTTCACACTGTGCAGCCATCTCTCGTGCATATGGCTGGAATTCCTGCTTGTCTTTAGGCACAGTTGGAGCACCAAATGCCTTCAAGTTGAAAAGCATCTGAGATTGTTTGTCATCCAGGATTTTGTGTTCATATACATCAGCCCGGGCCCTCCTGGCAATGTCAGACTTCCTGGTAGTGAAAATAATTTTGCCCGAGGTTTTGATCACTTGCAAGAGTTTCAGATCCCCAAAATTCCAGATGTCATCCAGCACGATGAACACATTCTTGTCAGCCAACTCATGCAACAGCAGTCTGAAGCCTTGTTCTGCGGTCCTGAATGCTGGCGGTGGAGATCCGATCAGTTGGGTCCAGATCTGTCGCTGACACTGGATCAGGTCGGGAGTTTGACTGACAGTGACCCAACAGGTGGCATCAAACTGGCTGCCATTCTTGACAAGACAGTACACAGCCAACACAAGGGTGGTTTTTCCTGCATACCACATCACACCACACATGCCCATGTGTGAAACAAAATGTTCTGAAGGCCACCAATCATCACTCTACATGCAACTGCCACAACACTTAGCAAACTACTTGCCACCAGAGCTGTCAGAACAAGGTTTCGCATCATAAATCCTACCAGTGTGTGCATGATAGTTTAGAGAACTGTGCAACGAACATATTCATATTCTGGCATACACAGTTCACAAAACCCTCAGACCCAGGAAAACGTACCAACACCACCCATTCCAGCAACTCCAAGAACAGTGCCCTCCATCTCCTTCACCATTTTCAAAACCTCCTGAGCCCTGTCATCCAATCCCACTGTGATCTCTGGAAGCTCTGGTAGGTTCACCAAAGCCATGATCATGTCATGCACAGTCTCTGTTGATGGATGTAGCAATATTTCTCGGATGGATTTAAGCCTTGCTGCATGCTCTTTTTGTCCCTCTGCCAGCCTCTCCTGGCCCTGAGCTGCTGCAGCACCTTGTGCAACCTGCAAAACTGTGCACACAATGAAATCAGCAGAGCACCTTCCCTGCTGATGTGAACCAAGAAATAGATGAATGCGCACACGAGGTCTTGCATTTCCTGCTGCCACCTGCACTTCACCAACTGTTGGAGCAACCACACACATAAATGTAACAACTGCAAGTGATAAAGCACAGAGAGAACTGGGACGCAGCCGTGGTTGTGCGCACAATGTGGCTACCTACTCTGGATTTGAGTGCTCAGATTCTTCTCAAGTTCGGAGAAGCCTTCCTTCACAGCTCTTGCCCTGGCAAATCGTGCCACCCTCCCCATCTCATATTGTTTCTTCACAAAGTCCAGGGTCTCCTCCGCTGCAGCCTCAACCCTTCCAAGAGGACCCTCAAGGACTTCATGAGGGTGGTTGCGTATGTCCTCCAGGACTAACTTCAAGTGGCCAACAAGTTCTCCAATTGCTCTGCATTTTTCTTTGTTGTGTTTTGCAGCATTTGTGATCTTCTGAACCTCCAGGCAGACTTTGATGATCTTGGAGGCAACAGATAGCACCTCCGACATGTTTGCCTCACAGATTGGGGACTCCCTTTGGTGCCACAGGCACACTGCAAGTGGCGTGTTGCGTCGTTATATCCACACTTTCTGGGTTGGCAGCTGCCTGCAAAAGGCACATCAAGCTCAGCAACAACAAGCAACTGTAGTCACAATGGAGTCACCATTGCGTCAACAGCAAATGCCTAGAAACCAACGCAGTCAGTCTTGAGCAGGTGCACTGCAACATCACAACAGTCACACCACACACCAAACAGGCCATTTTCCACTGAAAGAGTGTGACATTGGAAGGCAGAATTGGATGGAGGAAGTGCATGTAAGGAGTAAACGACAGAAGCAAAAGGACGGCATAAGGTCGAACTGAAAGTGGGATCAGCCATGGGAATAGACATGAGAAACCCTCTCCCACATCAAAAGCACATGGGGAAGGCGACCGCTGTCTCAGGTAGACAAACGCGCCACATATTATTTTGACCATATTGGACATGCCATTTCCCACACTGCCATATTAGCAGTGCAATCTTCTTTCTACCTGTGAGTACTGACTATCACAAATCTCTGCATTGGTGGACAGCCAATAGCTATTCGTAGCACCTGGCGCAACCGACTTTGTTTCAAGATGAAGTGAAGAACTGCAGCAGCAGCTGACCCGTTCAGTACGTTAGCAAAAGTCTTCAGGAAAGGCCAGGTATTCTGTGGCCTGTCCAAGGTGTCAGTTTGACTTAGCCTGGGTGCCTGATCAATCAACGGGGAAAGTGCACTCAAACCGTCGCCCAATTCTGACCCGCCCTGGAAAGAGGCGGCTCGGCGGGACAGGGCGGGGCGCACGCGGAAACTACAGACTCACACATTTCGCGCCAGTGGCCGGCTCCAGACCGAGGCCGGTCAGTGACACACACACTGGCTGGAACTGACCAGGGAGTCCGATCGCGTCCGAGTTGGGCGACGGTCACGTGGAGACGACGAATATGGCGCTCAAGATGGTGACTGAGACCCGAACATTCAGCGGGCTCTGCGGCCTGCCGACACTGGCGAATCGGCAATTACTCACGAATGGGTGCTCCCACCCACCCAGCGGATGCTTGGGCGATCAGCCGCGATTGGACAAACAACGGAGAGAGGCCGGGGAGAGGAGTACAGAGGCGGGTCGCAAACGATTCGATTGGTTTGGCCCACTTTCGGGTCAGCTGAGCGCAGATGTCCCTCCTGGTCATTCCCTCCATAAGGTCAACAAGTGCATCACCTTGGGCCGCGCGCCTTGGAACCTGACCGCCGGCGCCGCGATGATCGATCGAGGAGCCTTGGCGCCGGGCGGCGAGGGACCTCCCCAGGCGCTCCGTTCGGCCGTGCCGTGGATCGAGGCGGAGGTGCGCTCAACCAGGCGCGGCCAGGTAGCCGCGTTGGGCGGGTCCCCGGCCGTGAGCCGCGGGCAGGCTGCGAGTCCCGCCCTGGCCAGGCTTCGCAACAGGGTTAAGTACTATTAGTAGATATGATGTACTACAAGTAGACATGATGACCCCGTATGTGGTGGGAAAAAAGTTCGTCGCGTGTGGATGGGGACGGGGCTTTCCTTTTGGCGCGATAGGCTCGCCGCCGCTTCGCCGCAAAAGGATTTGACGACGGCACGTCAAAGTTTCCAATAGAATGTAAGTTGCTGAACTAAAAAGGGTCGAGTGTCAAAACCGCACTTTCAGGCAGCACACATGGAACATTGTTGGAACACAGGTGCACAAGCACACACTCAAACCTTCAAGGATGCCTGACCCAAAGATGGCTTGATCACATCTAGTTGGGGCTTCCCTAAATAGGAGAGCCCCACAGTCTTGTTGTTGTTAATTCACACACTTCCACACAAATGGAAAGAAAATGCCCTGAAAATGGCAGCCTTCGAGCGCACCAACCATCAAGTCCACCATCCGATCCATCCACCCATCTGCTGAACTCTGTAAGGTCAATGGACAGCAGTAGACCAACCTTGACAAACAGGTAGCCACATGAGCGCAAATATGGACGCCGTGGAATGGCGTGGTATATTCCAATCTTTCAGGCGAGCCACAGCCCATCTCCTGGTAGCTGTACAACAAAGCACATGACCTAGCCCTGTGGCAAGGCCATGCGCGATCTACAGGGTCCCAGTGGTTCGATGCACTGTCCAAGATGCACATGATGCATGAGACTCTGCACTCACCCTTGCGATTGATACCTCCTCAAACTGCTCTTTCCATTGTTCTTCTTCCCAGATGCACAACCACAATAAAGTATCTCACACGAAGCACCTCACAGGAGTCCAACCTGACTGTCCCCTCAACAGGTGGCAGAAAATCCTGACACACCTGCCCTGGACACATTCCAGCCCCAGTGAGCCCCCATCCCACATCACCATCCATGGCACTCAGCCATCATCAGCACAGTCCCTTTCCCACACTTCTTTCACATATTCACACACTTATCCCCAAATTGGGACAGCAGCACACTTTCCCAGCTTTCTGCAGGTGCAAAAGAACAACCCACTATCTGGCCCATATGCCTCCCTGTCTTTGCACACCAGCGCCAAGAATAGTCTAGGAGCTGCATGCAGTGCTCATCAGTGAGAAGCGACGCAGCTGAATCCCACATGATCGGTAACATGGACGGCCACAATATCATGCCAAAGGACACTTTCTTGCTGTTGGAGTTGTTGCAGCAAGTCACAGATTTGCAAGCGGTCAATGGCCTGGGTGGGCAAGAAAGTAGCTGACCCACGGGTCAGCCCTGGCCACACCCACTGGGCCATTCCCAAGTCAAAGGAGATGTTGTCCGTCGGCGCCAAGAAGCAGTATCTCAGCTGGCCTGCGCCACGCACAGACAAAAACAGCATGTGGATGAACATGTTTGATTCTGATACAATTCTGTGCAAATGTTGCACTGCTGAATGTGGAATTATTGCCCGACCACAGATCCCAACAGCACATTTAACACAGACCCTACACGGTTTGCAGTACAGGAGCTACATATGAAAGCGATTCTGTTTGGTGGACACCTGCATGCAAAGGATCAAACACTGTGCTTGCACCCCAACAGTGAACAACAGCTGCCCAGGTGTTTTGTACCACCTCACAGTTTTATCTCGAAAAGGTCGTCCAATCTCCATATCGCTAAGGAGATTTTAGGAGGCGGTTTGGAATTCCTCTGAGGACTGCAGTGGCAGTTCAACACAGTACTGTATCAGCCGAGGGCAACTTAGTGTGCTATGTGATGCAACACAAGCACTGCACAAAGCACTTTGTAGTGAGCATCCATGCCAATGCTGCAAAAGCATGTCTGGCAACGGGGCACTGCATGCTGAATTGACAGAGGCTTAATAATGGCCTTGGCCCCAGGCTCCTGCCGGAAGGTTCGCAGGATCTATTGCTGAGTCGAAGGACGATTCAGCTGCGATAAAATCCAGAAAAAGACAATAGACCTAGAAATGCAGGGCACCACAGCATTCACCGTCTTGGCCAGCCATGGCATTGTTCCACATAATAGTGGTCACATCACAACCACTGCACGCCCTAGCGAGCTAGAACATGCTCATCTAGATAATAATGGTGGCGACAACATCCATGAATGCATCCAGTTCCACAATGTCAACTCCTGGGCATGTAGACCATCACGTTCCCATGTTCATTGCATCCACATTTCAAACACCCCATAAGTGTTGTACTGTTGTGAATGCTGCTTTCAAGTTGAGTTGAATGCAATATCAACACGCGATTGCTGTCAGCAATTCGAATGAATTATTACAGTGATTGTCGGTTTTCAATTGCACAAAAGAAACCACAGCTCTGATCACTGGCACCACCTGACACAGCCATTGCAAGACATTGGGTTTGCCTATTGGACGCCCCATTCAAACAACCTGTGGCTAACAGACCAACCTGTGCAAATTCCTGTAGCCAGGGCTGTTGCTACTTTCCCAAACTACATGCTTCCAAGCATGACAAAAAAAACTGACCTGCATCTTGTAGGCAAGGCCCGCGCTTCTTTGATTTCCACCGCTGTTGATCGTACTGCTGCTGGATGCTGCAGACAGCGTTGTACCGAAAATGCTCAGCCTTATGGTTGGGCACCTGCAGGCCAGGGCCAATCAACAAGCCCCACTTTGAGCAGATGGAATACTCTGCCAACACAAGTGTCCCTCATCAGAGATTCGACCTCACATTAGCCAGCCAGGGCATCAGTCACTCACCAAATGTAGCAGCCACCTTGGCCACTCGTCACATGGCCTCAATCGGCTGGAGCAACGTGCATCTGGCAATTGATGGCAGCTGCTGCCAGAGATGATGCCAATCCAAGTACTCCACAAAGTGTGCAGCACACCAGGGGACAAAGAGGTGTGTCTGGTCAACGACAGCGCCAACATCATTGTCAACTGCCCCTGCCATCATGTCATCGTAGGTGCACCAATTTTCATTCCCCTGTTCACAACAGACTCACCTCACATGAGATGAATGCCGATTGCAGTATCCCGCACACCTCACCAGAAAATCATATTGTTTTATCCAGTGATGCAGTGTAGCACAACGATGTCGAGCAATTCTCTCAATGTGTTGCAGGCGCCCAGCTCAAGCTACCCGGCTTCCGTACTGCACCGTAGTGCTGCAAAGCAGTGCAGGACCAACAGGCAGCAGCCACACATTAGCAAAAGTGGTTCTGTCTGCAGTCCTAAAGCACTGTGCCAGTGACTGCAAGTGTGAATTGGGCACCCAACCTCAATATATGTGCAGTGGTTGCTGTTTTCCACGTCCACTGAAATACAGCACAGGGCATACTCATAGAAAGGAATGCTTTTTCGGGCCACCTGCCAGGCTGTTGATGTCCTACATCTCCAGATGCATGGAACCTCCATATTGGGTAGATGTCTACCCATCAGATGATGCAAACGTGTGCTGGAGGCTTCATACAATTCACAAACACAACCCTCCAATCTGACAGGTATGGGGTTGTCCTTTGACAGAGCACAGCCCCTGAGACAAGAGCACTACCAGTGGATTGCATGGCCATTTGCTCCGTGCCATTTTGAAAGAGCAATGGCCCAGCACATTGGCCCATTCCTCCACCATCGGCCAGAGCGCACCTGTCATGACACCAGTGATCTTCTGGATGGTCTGGGTGATCCCATCATTCGAGAACACCATCTCTTTCCCCTGGAGCCAGTTCGCCACAAGCCCTCCTGTGTTTGTACACAACAAATGAATTCAAGTTCAGAATCAAGCTCAGTGACAGACACTCAGTAGTGCGCAAAAGACAAAAGCTGAACCCCAGGCTGCGATTGTTGAGTCAAGGAGTATGCCACATGAGCACCTTCAACCCCCACTGCCTCGGGAGGGTACAGCAGAGCCTCTGTTTCACACCCACGCACTTGAGAGAATCGTTTCAGCCTGGAAAAGGTGAATCAGAACACTCTCAATGCAGCAGGAGAATTGTCAAGAACAAATGCCACAGTGAGGCTTTGAGATGTGCCACTCTTGGCACGCTTGCCACAGCCTTGCTGCTTGCCACAACAAATTTTGAATTGGGGCAACCCACAGCTAACTATGTCCTGTGTTCCCTGCTACTTCAGTTTCATTGTGCCTTTTTTTTGTGCATCATCTTCTGCTGTGTGCAAGCAACATTCAAGCAATGAAGCCCGCCTGCATCGCATTTGCACTTTTTCATCGGATGTTCAAAAGTAACAATTCTTCACATTGGCCTTGCATGTGGCCCAGCCACCAGCTACAGCCATGTCCTTGCATTAGTGCAGTGTGCGAATCAAAATTCCAAGAGCCCCTGTGCGCATAGGAATAGCTGACATGGCATATCTACGCTGTGCTGAGCCACATGGGCAAGAATGAAGTACTGGGAAAACATGCCGCTGATTGCACTGGCAAAGCACTCGGCTGGTGGCATACTTGAGGTGTGGGAGACTGGCGGGTGCTGACTCTCATTGGCAGATATTTACACTCAAGTTCACTCCAAGTGGGGGTGCCCACTGCTTGATGTGCTATCCTTCTTGCTCGTCAACAAGTTGACACGTTTCAGAGGTAGGTACACCGGGTGCACATCGCGTAAACAGTGCACGGACACCGCCTGCCCTGTGAAGGCAAATCTGATGAAACAAGATGTGTGCTTTGTACGGCGAGGGACGGCACCTTGGACTTCAGGCCAGCACTGTCGGTGTCCGAGTTCGCTCGAAAACGGTGTCCTGCGCGTGGGGAGACCGGTTGGCGCGTGGCACAGGCCAGTTGATCGGCACAGAGACGAGACAGGGAGGCAAGCATGCCACAGCCCTCATTGATTGAAGATCCAACGCACGACGGGGTGCTGGCCCCCCGGCCTATCAGGCGGTCGACACCAGAATGCACGAGGTGGCCGTTGCTCAGGTGGACATTGTGCAAGGCAATCAGCTGGGTGCCCGGCGTGCGGTGGATCAGACGTGGTACACTGGACGGGCCCAGCAACGCTGCTGCATGCGGACTTCCTCCCCACCGACGCACCCAGATTCGACATCGCCCGCCGCTGAAACGACCTGCCAGGCGAAACGCGCCGGATTTGCATTCCGGTGCCCGCAAGAGGTGCGCTTGGACCCGCCCTTGCAATCCGCATTCACAACGCTGGGGATTGGGGCGATCGCATCGGGCCGCGCACTCGCCTGCGGCGATCCCTGTGGTGTGGAGGGGCCAGAACGGCCGCGGCTCGACGCGCGTTCGTCTCACTCTGGCTGCCTGTCGCAAGCGGTCGCCGAACGCCATTCGAGACACGCCGACCCGCCAGCCGCCAGACCTCCAGCCGCTCAGTCGACGCATCGCCCCCTTTTGCCTGACGGGGCGTCTTGTCACAAAACAAAGGAATGCGGCGAAGTTCGCGGACTGCATATAGTTCTACCCGTTTTGGGAACAGAGGACTGTGCCCCGGCCCAGCCCAGTCGAGGATCCCCCTCCTCTCGCGCCTTTGGGCCTGCGGGGCCGGCTCAAAATGTGCAGCCAACAACCACAGCGCCAGTACTTTAAAGCGGGCCCCTGCAAAAAAAGAAAAAATGGGGACTCAGCAAGCAGGTAGGCCGAATGCGGCAGGACCGCGCCAACCTGGTCCCGGCGCCCGCAGCCGCAGCCCACAGCACGGGACAGTCCCCGCTCCACCGCGCGCAAGGAACGGGGCGAAGCCGCCGGGGGCGGTGGCGCGAAGTCTGGCCATCTCGCGCAGCAATTTGGAGCCCCCGGAGCCGGCCTCCGCCGCGGATTGTCGCCAACGGCGGGCATCCCCTCCGCGCGGGTCCGTGGGAACCGGTCGCGTCGCCCGGCCCGCCGTCGATCGGACCCGCGGGAGGTCCAACCCCCCTTGCGCCATCCTCGCATCGCTCCCCGCCGCGCGGCTGGCCCCTGGGCGATCGATCGGCAGCCATGCAGCCGCCCGCCGCGTGCCATCCGGGCGACTCCGCCCTCGAGCCGCTGCGGGACTTCGACGTTCTCGCTTTCATGCGCTCGCTGGCGATCCCGGGGACTGAATTTCAGTGGCCGTGGCTTGGGTTGGCGCCACGCGTTTTCGCGGCAGCTCCAGGGGCCGGTTTGGGCCGGGAGGCGGGATGCCGCCGGTGGCCCGGAGTTCTAGCGCGGCGCAGGCGCGGGTTTCTTCGCTGAGGAGAGTGATCGTCGAGTGCCGTCGGTGCCGAGCGCCTTTTTCGCTCAGCGTGCGTCCACATACATCATTCAATGATTCGCTGCGCGGCTGAATTCCTTGGATTGAATTGTCCAAAAAGGCAAGCCGCTCGTGGCCCGGCTGGCCAGAGGGAATGCCCTCCTCCGGGGGCGTTTCACCTGGCCAACGCGCGGGCCGCGCTAGGCGGCGTTGCGAGTTTCGCACCCGCGAAATGCTCTTTCTGCTTTCAGTTCCTGCTGGGATTGGTGCGACGGCGGAGAGGCAGATCAGCTACCCGCCCGGCACTCGCCTAGCCACTCGAATGCGCGAAACCGCGGACGGCAAGTGCAGGCATTGGGGTGGCTGCCTTGGTGCCCAATAGGACGTCCGCCCTATAATACCTTGAGGTTGAGGGTTTGGATGGTGCCCTGGGAAACACAAATTGCTATTTTGGTGCCAGATCTCTTCGCCTGTGGGGCCTGGGTGGTAATGCGTTTCATTCAAGGGCCAGTGGCTTATTGTGGGATGGACTGAGTCGCCAGGTTGTTTGTGAGATGGGGCAGAGTGCCACAGACGTGTTCTGTTCAGGAGGGTGCGAGCAGGGAGTCAGCCGCTGTTCTGTTTTGTGGTGTCAGTTTCTTCTTCATTTGAAACAGTTTTCGGCACGTTGAAATCGGCCAGAAGGTGCGTGCATGTCCTCGGGGGACAAAATAGGGGTGAAGAGATCAACAGATACCACGGGGAGTGAGCGTTGTTCTCTTGTGCTTGTTGCCATTTCGGAGACTGCAAGCGATGAACTATTGTAATGTGTGATGTTGGAAATGCCCATTACTGCTGTTCATGTCAGTGTCCATGGTCAGGATGGGTGACTGTGAGATGGTGCTCTGGATACCATCACTGAAGAGAGGGCCTGTCAGGCGCGCACACATGCACCAAGGCACCGGAAACACAGGATTCGGAATTGAATAAGGCGCTGGTGGCACTTGACGAACTTCGCCTTGGATTGGGTGTGTGCTGCTTGCCTGTGGGAGCTGCATAGCGAGCTGACGTGTTTCATGTACAGCATGGAAGGGATGTGCAAAAAATAGTGAAAGGAAGAAAGCAATGCTGGCCAGGGGACTGCTCAAAGTTGGTTGGTAAATGGATCTTCCATTCACCTCAAAACAAGGCCGTAGTACAGGGCAGCGCACAGGGAGGTCCAACCCCTCTGCAGCTGCACCCCCCTCCAGTTGGGTAAATGAGCATCTCGTTCCCCACTCGCAAGGGCATCTGCTGTGGTTTGCTCCAAGCCCTGGAAGTCCCCCATTCCCCTGCTTATGCCCATCTGTTGTGACGCTGCGTTACAGACGTGTTCTTTTACTTGCCGGATTCACAACGTGCTAAAGAGTCTCATATGACGGTGCCTCGGCTATAAACCGTTGCCGTGGACTCGACCGTATGATTCCCGTTCAGGGATCGCCAACCCTCGATCCTGCCTGCCTTCGAAAATGCCAATATCGATCGCTGTTGATGAACTTGCGAAACACGTTGATGGTGGCATCCGGCGCACTCAAACTTTTGACGCACCGAACGCTCGTGGTGCGCGGCGTGGCAGCACCGTGAACGCAAGACAGCAGATAAGAGTGAGCAAAAGAAGGTCCGGGGCGCGCAAGAGGGCGCGACCAGCGCAAGTGTGCGGTTCTGCAGGGACGCCGCCGCGTCTCCAGGGCGGAACTTTGTGTGTGCTTGCGTCCACGCATCCAGGGCGTTCACGCCGACGCCCTACATGTGCGAATGTTCCAGTGCTTTAGCAGCTGACCGTGAGTTGACATGTCCTTGACCGTGCCTTTGCATTGACCTTGCGTTGGCCCCCTGCGCGGCTCCCAGCGCACGAAGCCATGATAGACGAATCGGCGCACGCCTGCGGAACGGAAGAGGCGGAGCAGGCGTTGTTGGGATCGGGCGGCGCTGTCCAGGAGCGATCTTCTGTCGGGATGGGCGCTCAGTCGACGCCAAGAAACGCTTCTCGGTTCTCAAATGTGTCCCAAAAATCGCACCCTCTCATCTATCTTCCTCCTCAATGGTTGTGGTGCTTGCACAACGAACTGTCGATCGCCAGCCCGCCGAAGAGTGGCGTTTGGATTTGGATCCGAAAGTTAGGCGGATGGCCTCCCAATCCACTCCAGCCCCCGCCGTTGCTTTTGAATTATGAGCGCCAGCGCTGCTGTCTGGGCGGAGTTCTGCCAGCCAAGGAAATTATCGATGTCAAATATCGACTGCTGGAGTCGGAGTCCCAAGTGGAATTCAGCAATGGGTCAAAACAATGGGCAAAAAATCAGTGGACATGTAAAGATGAATGATGACGATTTAACTCAACAATGTGTCGATGTGGGCATGATCGCGATGCGTTTCAATTCAAGACCCGTTATTGAAATCGATTTCCCGTTTGTACAGCCGCTCAGCTTCTGAGTCCAGACCCTGCATCGCGATTCTGTGATCACGCTTCCCCTCGCTTGACGCAATGCGCGTGACAGACACGCAGTTCCCGGTCGAGCCGCATGGAGGGGCACGCGGTCCCAACAATGCCCATTCGACATCCACTCAATCCCGGTCCACTTAGGGCGTCCCTTGGCCGCCGCGCTACACCCCTTCACCCTCCACGGAGGATCAAAGGGGCTGCAATCTCCCCAAATTAACAATTACAGCTGGGCGCATACTCAGCTTCTGCAATGTTTAGTCAAATCTAATTCTCTCATTCGCGGCCGATCAGTGCCTCTTCGAGCGAATGCGCCATGGCATCGTGTCTCTCCACCACAGGAGGCGCGGCCCAAATCCAGTACTTGTTTCTGAAGCGGGGATCACGATGTGCAGGGCACCAGACCCTCGAGTGGTCCAACCGCTGTCGTGGAAACCAGTAGAAAGCAGCGTACGCGCCTGTCCAAACAATGGGCAACTTGGCGCCTCCACTTGTTTTGGTCAAGTGCTGGGAAAATCTACTCCTGCCGGAGGACATAAAGCACTAAGAACCAAATTGCCGTCGCCTGTGTTGGCGTCGCCTAGTCCTGAACTAGCAGTGTACTAACGGGACATTTGAGAGTGCTGCGTGTGCGAGCGGCTTGGCGGCGCGGAGCAGACCGCCAGGGATGCGCAGTACCCCGTGGAATAATTCTGTGAAGTTTTGTTGAAGTTGGAGGACATCCGTTGAAGGTATTGACACCAGCTTGCCATCCGCCGGCCTGCATTCGTGAGAAGTCGGATCACCGAGAGGAGGGCAGCGTCTATTTTGAACTGCCGCCAAGTCGCCATATACATTCGCACTGTCCCGTGAATTGTCTTATATTTATCACTTCCCGGCACGAATGTCATGAAGGGGTTGCCAAGGTCATGAAAAATCTTAGGATACTAAGTCCACAAATGATTGAACTTTTTAAAATCGAAAATTGTCTTCATGGTTTGACGATTTTGAAGCGTTCATGACCGCTTCATGACCGCTTCATGACCGCGCAGTGGTCGTGAACGTTTCGAAGTTGTGAAACAATGAAGGTAATTTTCGGTTAACTAAGGTCGTGTACTTGAAAGCACGATTTTTACGATTTACGATTTTTGAAGGCAGCTTCGATTCACAAGGTCATGACATTCGCGACCCTTTCGTTACGTTCATGGTATCTTCGTGGCTTCATTTCGGGAAATCAAAGGTACTCAACACCTTTGGTTTCAAAGTCCAGTCTGGATCTTTGTGGCGCGCATGCGCGCTCTGGCGCCACCCACCGCCCGATGGACAGTCCCACACGGACGCACCGGAGCAATGCGCTCCGGTGGCTGCGTGCCAGCCGCCCTTGATCGTGCGGCCGCGGGCGCTGAATAGAATACGCTGCAGAAACAGCAACGGTCCGTATTGGAGTATCGATTCTGCCTACGATATGCGCTGGGGCCGCCACCCGTGGAAGTGGGACAGGCGACGGCGCCCGCGGCGGATGTTGGACGATGGGTTCGCGGGCAAGGGGAGGACCTCGCGAAACTGAGGGCGCCTGGGGTGGCAGGACAGGGAGGCCAGAGACGCTCCGTGGGGCTCAGGGTGGTAATATTGTGAATGAATGACGACAACGGGACTGATGACAATAACGACGTTTGTTGAGACTGCATGGCGTGCAGAAGGAAATGGCAGTGAGCATCTGAGCGGGCGAGAAACACAACGCAAGGAAAGAGTGGGCCATTGGTCCCACCAGAATTTGGCATTGCGCCAGTGTGGTTTTCGGAGAATCGTTGTCTCAGCAGATATCGGAATCTGGGAGCGACGGCTGGACGTTTGATGCAATGCTCCCAAGGCTTGCAGAGCTGTATACATTACGCCCCACTCAATCCCGTCACGGGAGGATTGTGCAAGCGACCCAGCGCCACTCAGTCGACAGTGGCAGGCGCACAAATTGCGCGCTTGGCTTATTTCGACGGTGCCGCAGCCGTCATTTGGATGCCGGCGTCGGTAATCGTGCGGCGATTCGAACACAAGACCTGTCTGCCAGGGTGAAAGGTGTTGCTGCGCCACCGGATATATGAGAATTGCAGGTGCATCAATGGCGACGCAGACATATTCGAGCTTAGCACGCACGTTATGCAACATAAAAGTCTTCACCTGTGCATCGCTATCACTCGGATTGATTCGAAACTCTGGTGTCCATAAAAAGCGGCATCAAAGCCAAAAGCCAAGTCACGTCACCTTCGGCCAGCAGCCGGCAAAAGACAGCAGTATGACACAACGACCTTATAAAAAGGAATCAGTCCAAAAGAGCCAACTGCTGTCACGAACAGTAGATGTGCAAATGCGCATTCTCCTGTACTTTGGCATTTTTCAGGATCAACATCGTTCAGCACTACTGCTTGAAAACCTATGCGAACCATCGGCGAGGGAAATATAACATTTCGCAAGTTTGCTTGAAATGAGACTCTTTTCCGGTGAGACTTTTCTGCAATATGGTAGAGATTCGCAGCAGCGCTTCGCCAGGAGGAGTGATGCAGATGCATTGGTTATGTAGCTTATTGCGCAGTAATGTGCCTGAACTAAGCGCAACAGAGCTGGCACTAAAAAACACATGGTTTCTGTCATGCGAATCTGGTAGGGAATCACCCACTGTGGTTGACTCTGTTGGTGGCTCTGTTGGCCATAGTTTTTGTGAAGATAGTCCAAATAAGCACAGGAAAATTGCGGGATTGGCCCTCTCGGAGCATCGGGATGCTGATCGAACCTGTGCTGAATTAGTGTTGCTGATGGCATGGGTGCAGACAAGCCGCTGAAAGATCACGTGCATGATGGTCCATGGGGTTGCAGACGCCTGCCGAATAAGAGACTGAGCAATCTGTGGACAGCTGAAGCAGAGGGCAGCCGTAGCCTAAGGCAGCAAGCCACTGCATTGACATCTCCTGCGCGGACCCAAGGAGGCACCCATTGATCAGTGACCTGTTCGTGAATAGGACGCCAGCATGTGCTTGCTGCCTGCAGCTTCTGGCTGCCATCATCTCCTTATGGTGAGTTTACACGTTTCGGGCGTTCACTCTATGCTCGCACTTCCAAACTTTCGAAATTTGCCAAAATGCCAGCATTAATATAAATACATTTGCCCGCGGCAGCGGGGAAACAGCGCTGTCGTCTCTTGCAAGGGTCAGAGATGCACCCACCGAGGAAAACATCAGCACACGCAGGTCATGCAATCCATGATTTCTGGATAATTGTATGTTGTCCTCCTGCAGGAATTCAACGCGCATTGCGCTGGGATGGCGTCTGCAGATGCTGGTGCAATAGAGCATTCTGCCGATATCAACAAACACATTGCGTGAGCTTGCGCAGGGGATCTTGGCAGAGCCCACCCTTGGACCAGACGGCCAGGCGACAGTCCGAAATGCGGCACCGAATCATGTGTTGAAGCAGAAGGCTGAGGGGGGTGGTGAAAGGGCAATGTCTCGATCCTGTGCTGGCCACGGGTGAGGACTATTGTGTGGCTTTTGTCGCTTTATTATAGTATTATTGTGCATGGGTTGTAAGGCTCATTAAGCATGAATTGTATGCATAACTGAGGGCTGCGTGAGTCTGGCATCGATGTACATTAAATGCATGCTGCAAGCAACAAGCTCCATGTTAGGTTGTCCCTTTAGCATGTTACGTTATATACAGCCACAATATTGCAAAGATAACTTCTGTACCATTGGTAAAGGATAGGTCGATGACCGTGACCGAAAAGAACATCCGCTAGGATCAAATAAGTTTTGAGCATGCTTCCATAGAGGTGGCAGGTCATTATGACTGAAAGAAAAGAAAGCGGATCAGCTCTAAGAAACGCCAAATAGGAAAGCAATCAGGAACATGTCATGGAATTGGGTTGCAACAGTGTCCCATGATGAGCAGCCGTGTACAGGTCTAAATTCAGGAGTTTATGGCAGCCAAGGGATAGGCATTGGCACAATATGATGTGTAGCTCGTTATACCGGGGCTTCAGATGCTAGGAATGGCTGGCTTTTACACTAGCTCACTGCCGGGACTGGGCACTAGTCTGCCAATCCATTGGCACTGTAATTATGGACCCAGTTGAATGTTGCGGCGTGGAATGCACCGGCAAAAACAGGCATGCGTCATTGCTGCCACAGGTCTACGATGATGCCCAGTCGTGTCCATTTACATGGGTACAAATAAACACTAAAAGAGACCACTACACCAGCCTTGGGCACGTGGCATGAAGTAGCATTGGATGGCCGCGACATTGCTTTAGGATCAGTTTTTTGAATGACTGTGACGGGGAGTAGTGTATTGAGCACGTGCATCGTTGAGAAAAGGTCCAACAGAAAGGAAATATATGATAGAATAGGAAAATAGACCTGATGCTGCCTTATGAGTGAGTGTAGGTTGCCCATGCCCGGCATGGTATAGGCCTAGCCTGAACTTGATGTTGAATGTTGACATGCATATTAACACGTCGTGGCAGCCTTGGCCATCGTACGGAACATTGGGATTCCCCCTGAGGCCGGATCCGCAGCCGTTTTGGGAGCGCATGTCTGGTGCAAGTGTGCAAAGCTCCGTGCGAGCAAGCAGAAGCTAGGCGGGGAAATACTAGGAGTTGAGCGTGACCACGGCACTGGACCAAGCCAGGATCCATGTGAACGCTGCCTCCATGTGAGGATCGGAGGCCCTGGTGCTGCCCGCGTGGGGAGCTGTGCCAAAATGGCCTTTTGCAAGAGCTCCAGAGGAGCGTGTGTCAGGGAGTCAATGGCTACTTTGGTGTGTCCCCAGAATGGGCCATGTCCATGGGGTATGGCCTCCCCTAATGCTGTGTTGAGGACCACCTATCCATGGATTTGGAGGTGGTAGTTGGCGCGGACCACTCAGCCACTACGCCTCCATTTGAAGGCGTATGTGGTTTGCGCGGTCCCCACCTGGCGTTGGGGGTTTGCCATGATGCAACAAGTGTGGCGGCGCTTCCAGTAGACAGAGGGACAATGTTGCTTATGAGGCCTAGATGGACTCGGCGTGGGGCGGCTTCCACCAGATACAGAAAGAGCTTCGGGTGGAGAGGAGAAGGCCTCACCTTGTACCCGTCAGAGGGGCAAGGCGGGGCCCCAATCGCCTACATGGTGCGCTCAACAGACCTAAAGTGGGAGGTCCAGTGGCGGTGCCAGCATGGTCTTGGTATGTTGGTTGGGAAATCCCACCATCGTCCATGGCAATGCATTACCACATCTGGGATCTGTCATTGCCACCAATCCTGTCCAGTGGCCAGTGGCCAGTGCCCATCTCGGGTGTGAATGCAGTCTGAAACAAAGCCCATGACGGGCACTCCGCTGTTTTGGGACAAATTGGTTTTAGACTCAGTACATTGCAGTACTTGCTTGTACATCTTTTCCTCATAGGGCGAAAGGATGGGCTCCTCAGGAATGCCCCTGAAAACTTCTTCAAGAAAATTCAGCACAGTTCAGTAAAATGCCCAGGAAAATAAAGCAAGGCCTGGACACCTGGACAGCCTGGATGCCGGGGCGTTCATGATGAATGCTGGGGAGCACAAAACCAAAATTCGCTCGATGGCCCAGAAATCCTGGTCCTTGGCTGAGCGCCTGCTTTGCCTGCTGCCCAGTCCCAGGCTGACGCCAAGCTTCTTCAAGCACCTCGACAAGGTGATTGGGATGGAGCGCTTCGGCGCGAAGCCAGATCAGGAGAGGCTGGCGGAACTGAACAGCCTCACAGAGTATCTGCAGGTGAGAATGAACGAACAACCTTACAGGCAACATGAAAATCGACTCATTGGTCGTATCACGTACCTCTGCCGAACTCAGATCGTTATCTGCAGATGAGAATTGCGGCTCACCTGTCAGCAGCCCTTTCTTTGCTTGCTTCCTTCACGTGTTGCTTGCGAGGATGAGGAAGTAAAGTGGACAGTTGTAGGGGAAGTGGTACTGGCTACACACTGGGAACATGGTGGCAAAAAACGGTGAAATGGGTGTGGATATGATTAGCAAGCGAGAGTGTACTGTTTGACTGGTTTGCTTGGCTTGTGGCGCATCTGGTTACGGCTTGGGTTCCCGTGCCTGGGATCGACCGTGTCGGCATTCTTGGTTGTCGTTTCGCTGTTGGTTGCTACAATTGATGTCTTTTGTTTCATTTGGTTTGATATTGTCTTTTTTGTGTTCGTCGTTTCTATTTCAGAATGCTGCATCACAATTGGCAGTGCAGGCCCCGACCCGCTTGAATGATGGCTGTGGGAAACCTGCCTGGTGCTATTGGGACGTTTGTTGGAATCCTGGCTGGCACTTTGGCTGTTCGCTGTGGTACCTGCTGATATCGGGCTATATTGCAACAATCGCTGAGTTCCCTTCAAGGGGCACGCCAAGGCGTTGAAAGAAGCCAAACTGTCAAGATGGCAAATATGCCAGTGCACAACACCAACTTGTGATGCTACGAAGCAAGTTCCTATATGATCCTGTACTGGCTCAGTGCTGATCAGAGGCGCTGCTGGTCAGACCAAAACAAATCACCGATTTTTGATCATTGATTTGAAAATGACACGATTCTGTTGACAATCGAATCATCTCATAGGCAGATCAGATCAGAGCCAATTACAATCAAATTGATTCCTTTCACTTCAAATCGAATCGACACTGTCGTTCCAACACACGACCTCGGCCGTGTTCACAGGAAGCGGTGGAAGCTGTGGACGAGGCGGCCAAGCAGACGGGCAGCGCGGTGGACAGGCTCAAGAAACTGCTGGCTGCCAAGGACAAGAAGGCCATGATCCTGGAGATGGTGGCCAACAACGAGTTCGACAGGCCGCTGATGGACCTGCTGGACCAGAACATAGTCATCGCGCGGAGCTCTGGCGAGGAATCCAAGGTTGAGTTCATGGAGAGCTGCACAAGGCGTGCGCCAAGTACATCATCGAGTCGGAGCCGGCGGCGGTGCCGGACAAGCCGCCACCGCAGGACGGCGGGAGGCCCAGTGGATTGATACTCTGACGCGCGAATGTGTTGCCCTGGTTCAGAATTTCAGGATGCATGGGATGCCATGTGTGTCGCTGCCGATCTGTCTGAAGCCATGCCACATGGTCTATGTGGCGTCACACTGAAGCTGTGGGCTTATCGCTGATGTGCAATCGGTTGCTGCGCGTATTCTGAATTTGTTGATGCACACGAGAAGTGATGCGCCGCCGCCGTTTGTCTGGAGATATGCGGGCCCTTGTGTTGTGACCGCTTTCTGAATTATTCACAAATCAGATATGTGTTTAAAAAAATTGTTTCCGATTGTCTTCATTTCTTTTGGTGAAATTCTCATCAGAGGGGTGCGATGTGGGATCTGTGGGCGATCGCATTGTAACTGCGATCAAGTGGTGAATCCCTTCTCCGTTGGTGGCGGAATCAGTAGCCTTGTTCACGGCGGCCACTTTGCTGTCCATGGTTCGTTCAGGCTTGCCAACGTCTCAGATGAAGGTACAGACAGGCGCTTTGATCCCTCAGGAGCGATTACTTGTCCGCGCAATGCGTGCCACAATTTCTGCTCCAAGACCAAGCGCGAATTTCGACAAAGACCAGGACGAAAATACAGTCACAACGCCTTCGACGTTTCGTTCAGATCTTCAATTCTAGAGCCCCAATTCCAAATGATTGTGTGCCTATCCCCGATTGGGTCAACTTCCGCTCTGGTCATTTTGCGAGTCCTGCGCTGCAGCCTTCGGCCTCAGCAAGTTCTGAACGTTTCTCACCGAATCGTGCTCACGATTCGACTGCATTGGAGCCAGCGGTTTCATCACTGGATGTTGACACAGCAATTGTGCACTTGACGCATGGCACTGTTCCTGGAAATGGCAGTTTGCCTCCAGTCCTCTTCCTCGACAGCGTGGATGTTCTGCGACCAGTGCTTACTCCACATCATTTCAATGATTATAGAATCTGAGGATATTTCGTCGAAGATAGAAACAAGTGGACTCAGATTGCTCATTACTAACTGATTGTCAGGCTGGCTTTAGATCTGAACTTTCAACAAGCGATCACCCCTTTGCTCTTAGGGCTGCCAACAGAACCTCATAGCACACAAAAGCGACATCTCCTTTTATCATTGGGTGGATTTTGGCAAAGCATACGATTCAGTCAACCACCAGAGTTTGTGGAGAATTCTGGATTGTTTTGGTATACATAAAATGTACATTGACACGTGGAAAGCATTGTTTGGGGAAGCAACTTTCTCACATCAAGCTTTGCAAAGTGCTCATCGCCTATCCCAATGCATAAAGGTGTCGTGCAAGGATTTCCAGCTACTACTTTGCTCCACATCCTGTGAGGGGAGAACGGCGTGGTGTACCCGATGTGGGGCTTAAGTGAGAGCATTTGTTCACAGCGCGCTCAACGGTGGTGCGAATAGATCTGAAAAGGGCGAAATGGAAGTGAGGGCGACGCGAACTCCCACGTGAGGATGCGACTTGGTAGCTACTCAGTCGGGTTTTGATTGTAACGCCTTTGTTGAAATAGCTAGGATGTTTGGGGTGGCGCACACGAAATGTGTGATGCCTTCATGTGTTACAACCCAATTACGGACGAAACGTGTGAACAACAGTTCTGGAATATTGAAAGTCCCTGGCTGCGGCATTTGGAGTGCGGGTGTGTCCCTTGCTCACTGGTCGTGGCTTGGAGCCTGATCAGTTCGGCTTCAAAAGGTCAGCCACCCCTTTGAGGTCTTCGGTCATCTGTGCCCTGTTAGGCTTCAGTGAGGTCCTCCGGGTCATGCTGTGTGCCAAATCAAAACACATCAATTTTGTTGCGATTCTGCGTGTACAGGAATCCGGACGTCCCCTGTACGTCGTTGCCTCGCGCCAAGCCCCTTGTTTCGAATTTCTTGAACCAAGCCAGTTCCGCACGAAGGGCAAGGGATACGTGATTGTTGTGGATCTGCCCACGGATGGCTGCAGTGACGCACAGGCGTCTCTTACACTGCCGATTCGAACCACTGGTGCAGCCCCCCCAACATTTCCCCCTTGGCATCGACTAGTTAGTGATGGCAATTAGATGCACGCCTTGGTTCGTCGGCTGTGATGAGCCCGGATTTTCGTTTTGATTGTTGCTCACGCATTTGCCCACCAACTGGATATCTGAGCCTCGCGCGGCGTCAGCATGGCGATATCTGATACTTTCTACTGAATACAGTTTACTGTACTTGAAGCATATATGAGCGAGTCAAACAGGATCATTGGGTCCTTGTGACAGTGATGCCAGGAGTGGGTGGATAGAAACCATCCCCTTCTGCGCCTGCCTTCACCAGTCAGCGCAACACGCATGCACACTTCACAGTTGGATTATCTAGCCATTTCCCCATGCTCTTGCCACCATGATTCAACGCTATTCATCAGCGTGAATGTGGGCTGTGCGTGGACAGCCTTCACCAAAGTGCTGTGGTAAACGACGATCTCACAATGCAGCATCCAATTCCAAACATTTACACTCTTTTTCTACATTCGCTAATTCACCTAGTCCCTTTTCCTTCAATCTGGTCTTGCACCCTCTACTGCAGCTTCCTAGCGCCTCTCGCTGAAGACTGCTGCCCTGTTCTGATGTCACTACCCCTGTACATTCAGCCCCAACCGCCTCCTCAGTTAGCATCAATGCTGTCACCACAACTACAATCTAATTTTCCTGTCACGTGCAGGCCAAAGGGCACTTTAGCATAGGCCTACTGCATGGGCTTTTGAGTCATGACGGTCGCCGTCAGCTCAACCACAGAAATGTACCCTGCCTGGAAATCGCCTGGACCTCCTCCAACTTTCCATGTGGATGACGCACTGTTGGGACTCTTTAGGTGGCAGAAGGATTTCGACCTTGGACTTCATCCTTGAGGGCTCTCAATTCACTCTGCAGGTCGCACATCCTTGGCCTCTTTGAAGGCATGGGTGACAAGCAGCTTTCGATCAATGACCTCAGCTGTGGAGGGCAGTCACTGGGAAGTTCTCTCAGCAGTTTCTCAGGACCAATGCCCAGGCGACGGTAGTCTGTCTCATTTGGTGGCTTCTGCACCACGAGCTCCCACAGAATCAAACCAAAGCTGTAGACATCGCACCTGACAGTACAAGGCTCCCCCCTTTGCAGTTCTGGGGCATCGAACGGACAAACAACTTTTGTTGGCTGCTGCACCTCAATCTTCTGGGCATCAGGCTCGCACCTTGCCAGTTTGAAGCAACAGAGTGTGACATGCGGAAATTCCTTCTCAATGTCATCCACAAGGAAGCACCTGGTCTTCAATCTACAGTGGGCGAGTACAGTTGGGCCACTGTGCAGCTGGTCCACCGCAGCTGAGGCTTGCCACATGACATGAATACTTGACTGCCAGGACAAACCATCACTAGTAGAACGGGGTATTTTCAGGACCAGGTCCTGACGTCCAGGACGGCGTCCGGGACGGGGTCCTGGACGTATGGTCCCGGACGTATTTTGGCCATAACCGGACCGGTCCGGGGGGGGTCCTGAAGGGTCCCGGACGGAGTCCGGCGGTGGATGCCAACAATGACTGATGGCGTCCCGGACGGGGTCCTGCGAGCTCCGGACTTCGTCCTACGGGCTCCGGACGGGGGCCTTGAGAGCTCCGGACTGGGTCCTGCGAGCTCCGGACCTCGTCCTGCGAGCTACGGACGGGGTCCTGCGAGCTCCGGACTTCGTCCTACGGGCTCCGGACGGGGTCCTTGAGAGCTCCGGACTGGGTCCTGCGAGCTCCGGACCTCGTC